GTCATCCTTTTATACTCTTTATTTTGAATATCTTTTTGCACATCTTAATTCTTCAAATTTGGTCCTTTTATTACTTTTTCTTATCATGTGTTTTTCTAATCTTTTTTTTTTTTATATTTGAATCCTAAATCTTTTCATTTTTTCTCTTTTCTCAAACTTTCTCATTTTCGTTTTTCTTTTCTCTATATGCAATTTTTCATTATCTAATGTCATTCTGATATACATAATCTTTTTGAATGTTTCTAAATTTTTAATTCTTTTAAACTGTTTCATTTTTCTTTTTATTTTTTTCTTATACTATATGCATAATCTTTTTAGTTTTCATTGTCTTCCCTGATACATTTATATTTTGAACCTTTTAAATCTTTTTAATTTTCTCAAAATTTTTGTTCCTTTTTACTTTTAAGCTTTTTTTTTTTATTTTCTCTTTTTATATGCACATCTTTTATATTTATTATCCTGATACATTTATATTTTTATTTTATTTTCTCTTTTTTTTTTTTATTTTTTCAAGACTTTTCTCCATTTTACTTTAAGCTTTTCTTTACTATATGCACATCAGTGCCAATGTCATCCTGATATACAGTTATATTTTGAATTTCCTTTAAATCTTTTTGTTTTTTTTTTTTATTTTTGTTCCATTTTGCACATTTTTTCTCTTTTACTTTTCAATATGCTTTTTCATTTTAATTTTGTCATCCTGATTATACAGTTATATTTTGCAATCAGTTCTTTAAATCCTTTTTTTTAATCTTTTTTCTTTTTCTTTTTCAAAACTTTCCATTTTTTTTTTAAGCTTTTCTTTTTTTATATTCACTGATATCTTTTCCAATGTATCTTTTTTTGATATCTTTTTATATTTTCTTTATTTACTTTTCTCATCTTTTTTAATATACTTGTTTCATTTTCTTTTCTTTTATTTCTATATGCATCAGTGCCAATGTTTCCTGATATACTTTTATCTTTTCAATCTTTTTAAATTTTTTTTAATTTTCTCAAAACTTGTTCCATTTTCTTTTAAGCTTTTCTGTGTTTCATAATCTTTTTCATTTTCTTTCTCTTTTCTCATATGTTTCCATAATCTTTTTATATTTTTTTTTTCTTTTTGTGTTTTCATAATTTTTTCATTTTTTTTTCTCTTTTTATGTTTTTCTTTTTAATCTTTTTCATTTTCTTTTTTCATTTTTCTTTTCTCTTTTTCTCATGTGTTTCATAATCTTTTTTTTTCTTTTTTTCTTTTCTCTTTTCTTTTCATGTTTTTTAATCTTTTTTCATTTTCTTTTCTCTTTTCTCATATGTTTCATAATCTTTTTTTTTTTCTTTTCTTCTTTTCATGTGTTTTTCTTTTTCTTTTCTCTTTTCTTTTTTAATCTTTTTGTTTTCTTTTCTCTTTTCTCATGTGTTTTTCTTTTCATTTTCTTTTTCTTTTCTCATTATTTTTTCATAATCTTTTTCTTTTTTTTTTCTCTTTTCTCATGTGTTTCATAATTTTTTTCTTTTTTTCTTTTCTCTTTTCTCATGTGTTTTCATAATCTTTTTTTCATTTTCTTTTCTTTTCTATGTTTCATAATCTTTCTATTTTTTTCTTTTTCATTTTTCATAATCTTTTCTTTTCTTTTTTCTTATGTGTTTCATAATCTTTTTAGTTTTCTTTTCTCTTTTCTCATGTGTTTCATAATCTTTTTATTTTTCTTTTCTCTTTTATGTTTTAATCTTTTGTGTTTTAATGTTTTCTGTTTTTTTTTCTTTTTCTTTTATGTTTTTCATAATCTTTTTTCGTTTTCTTTTTTTTTCTCATGTGTTTCATAATCTTTTTCTTTTTCTTTTCTCTTTTTGTGTTTCATAATCTTTTTCATTTTCTTTTCTCTTTTTCATGTTTTTTAATCTTTTTTTTTTCTTTTAATTGTTTTTTAATAATTTTTCATTTTTCTTTTTTCTTTTCTATGTGTTTCATAATCTTTTTATTTTTTTTTTCTCTTTTCTCATGTGTTTCATAATCTTTTTTTTCTTTTTTCTTTTTCTCATGTGTTTCATAATCTTTTCATTTTCTTTTCTCTTTTCTTTTGTGTTTTTAATCTTTTCATTTTCTTTTCTCTTTTCTCATGTGTTTCATAATCTTTTTTTTCTTTTCTTTTTTTCTCATTTTCATAATCTTTTCGTTTTCTTTTCTCTTTTCTCAATGTTTCATAATCTTTTTCATTTTTCTTTTCTTTTCTTTTCTTCATAATTTTCATAATCTTTTTTCTTTTCTTTTCTCTTTTCTCTTATGTGTTTCATAATCTTTTTTTTTTTTTTTTCTCTTTTCTCATGTGTTTCATAATCTTTTTATTTTTATTTTCTCTTTTTTTATGTGTTTCATAATCTTTTTTTCTTTTTTCTTTTTTTCATAATCTTTTTTTTTTCAATTTTTTTCTCTTTTCTTTTTTTCATAATCTTTTATTTTCTTTTTCTCTTTTCTCATGTGTTTTCATAATCTTTTCGTTTTCTTTTCTCTTTTTTCATGTGTTTCATAATCTTTTTCGTTTTTCTTTTCTCTATTCATGTGTTTCTATAATCTTTTCATTTTTTTTTCTTTTTTCTCATGTGTTTCATAATCTTTTTTCGTTTTTCTTTTTCTTTTCTCTTTTTTCATAATGTTTTCATTTTCTTTTTTCATGTGTTTCATAATCTTTTTTTTCTTTTCTCTTTTCTCATATGTTTCATAATCTTTTTTCATTTTTTTTTTTTCTCATTGTTTCATAATCTTTCGTTTTCTTTTTCTTTTCTCATGTGTTTCATAATCTTTCTTTTTATTTTCTTTTCTCTATTTTTTTGTGTTTCATAATCTTTTTCTTTTTCTTTTCTCTCTTTTCTCATGTGTGTTTCATAATCTTTTTCATTTTTCTTTTCTCTTTTTTATGTGTTTCTCTTTTGTGTTTCATTTTCTTTTTGTGTTTTTCTTTTTGTTTCTTTTTCTTTTTTATGTGTTTCATAATCTTTTTAGTTTTCTTTTCTCTATTCTCATGTGTTTCATAATCTTTTTCGTTTTCTTTTTTCTTTTTCTCATGTGTTTCATATTTTTTTTCTTTTTTTCTTTTTCATGTGTTTTCTTTTTTCGTTTTTCTTTTCTCTTTTTTCATGTGTTTCTTTTTCATTTTTCTTTTTCTCTCTTTCTCATAATCTTTTCGTTTTCTTTTAATTTTTCATGTGTTTATAATCTTTTCGTTTTCTCTTTTTCATGTGTTTCATAATCTTTTTAGTTTTCTTTTCTCTTTTCTCATGTGTTTCATAATCTTTTTCGTTTTCTTTTCTCTTTTCTCATGTGTTTCATAATCTTTTTCGTTTTCTTTTCTCTTTTCTCATGTGTTTCATAATCTTTTTCGTTTTCTTTTCTCTTTTCTCATAATCTTTTCATTTCTTTTCTCTTTTTTCTTTTTCTTTTTCTCATTTCGTTTTTTCTTTTCTTTTTTTCATATGTTTTTTCTTTTTTCTCTTTTTCATGTGTTTATAATCTTTTTCATTTTCTTTTCTCTTTTCTCATGTGTTTCATAATTTTTTTCTTTTTCTTATGTTTTTGTATTTTTAAATTTCTTTTCTCTTTTCTCATGTGTTTCATAATCTTTTTAGTTTTCTTTTCTCTTTTCTCATGTGTTTCATAATCTTTTTAGTTTTCTTTTCTCTTTTCTTATGTGTTTCATAATCTTTTTAGTTTTCTTTTCTCTTTTCTCATGTGTTTCATAATCTTTTTAGTTTTCTTTTCTCTTTTTTTATGTGTTTCATAATCTTTTTATTTTTATTTTCTCTTTTTTTTGTGTTTCATAATCTTTTTATATTTATTTTCTCTTTTTTTATGTGTTTCATAATCTTTTTATTTTTATTTTCTCTTTTTCTCATGTGTTTCATAATCTTTTTATTTTTATTTTCTCTTTTTCATGTTTTCATAATCTTTTCATTTTCTTTCTCTTTTCTCATGTGTTTCATAAATCTTTGAAATTTTTTTTTTTTCTTTTTCTTTTCTGTGTTTCATAATCTTTTTTCCTTTTCTTTTCTCTTTTCTCATGTGTTTCATAATCTTTTTCGTTTTCTTTTCTCTTTTCTCATGTGTTTCATAATCTTTTTCGTTTTCTTTTCTCTTTTCTCATGTGTTTCATAATCTTTTTCGTTTTCTTTTCTCTTTTCTCATGTGTTTCATAATCTTTTTCGTTTTCTTTTTTCTTTTTCTCATGTGTTTCATAATCTTTTTCGTTTTCTTTTCTCTTATGTGTTTCATAATCTTTTTCGTTTTCTTTTCTCTTTTCTCATGTGTTTCATAATCTTTTTCGTTTTCTTTTCTCTTTTCTCATGTGTTTCATCTTTTTGTTTTCTTTTCTCTCATTTTCTAATCTTTTTTTCTTTTCTAATCTTTTTTTTTCATTTTTCTTTTCTTTTTCTCATGTGTTTCATAATCTTTTCATTTTTTTTCTTTTCTCTTTTCTCATGTGTTTTCTTTTAATCTTTTTCGTTTTCTTTTCTCTTTTCATGTATTTTCATGTTTTTCATTTTTCTGTTTTCTTTTTCTCATGTGTTTTTCTTTTTCGTTTTTCTTTTCTTTTCTCATGTGTTTCATAAATTTTTTAGTTTTCTTTTCTCTTTTCTCATGTGTTTCATAATCTTTTTCATTTTCTTTTTCTTTTTTCTTTTGTTTCATAATCTTTTTCATTTTCTTTTTCTTTTTTCATGTGTTTCTCTTTTTTCGTTTTTTTTCTCTTTTTCATGTAATAATCTTTTTGTTTTCTTTTCTCTTTTCTCATGTGTTTCATAATCTTTTTCTTTTTCTTTTCTCTTTTTTCATAATCTTTTTCATTTTGTTTTTCATAATCTTTTTCTTTTTTCTTTTCTCTATTCTCATGTGTTTCATAATCTTTTTCCTTTTCTTTTCTCTTTTTTTATGTGTTTCATAATCTTTTTCGTTTTCTTTTCTCTTTTTTTATGTGTTTCATAATCTTTTTCGTTTTCTTTTATCTTTTCTCTTTTTATATTTCATGTTTTTCATTTTTTTTTTCTTTTTTTCTCATTTTTTCTTTTCTCATTTCTTTTCTCTTTTCATAATAATCTTTTCATTTTTTTTTTTCTTTTCTCATGTGTTTCATAATCTTTTTCGTTTTCTTTTCTCTTTTCTCATGTGTTTCATAATCTTTTTCGTTTTTTTCTTTTTCTCATGTTTTTTCTTTTTCGTTTTCTTTTCTTTTTTATTTTTTTTTGAATTTTTTTTTTTCTTTTCTCTTTTTTTATGTGTTTCATAATCTTTTTCGTTTTCTTTTATCTTTTCTCTTATGTGTTTCATAATCTTTTTCGTTTTCTTTTCTCTTTTCTCATGTGTTTCATAATCTTTTTAGTTTTCTTTTCTCTTTTCTCATGTGTTTCATAATCTTTTTTTTTTTTTTTCTTTTCTCTTTTTTTCATGTTTTTTTTCATTTTTTTTTCTTTTTTTTATTTTTCATTTTTTTTTCTCTTTTTCTCATGTGTTTCATAATCTTTTTCATTTTTTTTCTCTTTTTCTTTTCTCTTTTCTCTTTTTGTGTTTTCATAATCTTTTTCATTTTTTTCTTTTCTCTTTTTCATAATCTTTTTTCGTTTTCTTTTCTAATCTGTTTTCATAATCTTTTTAGTTTTTTCTTTTCTTTTTTCTCATGTGTTTTCTGTTTCTTTTTCGTTTTTCTTTTTCTTTTTCTTTTAATCTTTTTCGTTTTCTTTTCTTTTTCATTTTCTTTTTTCTTTTCTCATGTATGTTTTTCTTTTTAATTTTTTTTTTATGTGTTTTTCTTTAATTTTTTTTCTCTTTTCTCATGTTTCATAATCTTTTTCGTTTTCTTTTCTCTTTTCTCATGTGTTTCATAATCTTTTTTTTCTTTTCTCTTTTCTCATGTGTTTCATAATCTTTTTCGTTTTCTTTTCTCTTTTCTCATAATCTTTTCGTTTTCTTTCTTTTTCTTATTTTTCTTTTCTCTTTTTTCTCATGTGTTTCATAATCTTTTTCATTTTTCTTTTCTCTTTTTTTATGTTTTTCATAATCTTTTCTTTTTTTTTCTCTTTTTTCATGTGTTTCTTAATCTTTTCATGTGTTTTTTCTTTTCTCTTTTCTCTTATGTGTTTTTAATCTTTTCCTTTTCTTTTTTTTTCTCATGTGTTTCATAATGTTTTTTCTTTTTTTCTTTTCTCTTTTCTCATGTGTTTCATAATCTTTTCTTTTTCTTTTCTCTTTTCTCATATGTTTCATAATCTTTTTTAATTTTCTTTTCTCTCTTTTCTCATGTGTTTCATAATCTTTTTATGTGTTTTTCTTTTCTTTTGTGTTTCATAATCTTTTTTTTCTTTTTCTTTTTCTCATGTGTTTCATAATCTTTTTAGTTTTCTTTTCTCTTTTCTTATGTGTTTCATAATCTTTTTCATTTTTCTTTTCTCTTTTCTCATGTGTTTCATAATCTTTTTAGTTTTCTTTTCTCTTTTGTTATTTCATAATCTTTTTTCTTTTTCTTTTCTCTTTTCTCATGTATTTATAATCTTTTTTTCTTTTTCTTTTCTCTTTTCTCATGTCTTTTTCATAATCTTTTCATTTTTCTTTTCTCTTTTCTCATGTGTTTCATAATCTTTTTTTTTTTCTTTTCTCTTTTTTCATGTTTTTTTTTGAAATTTTTCTTTTCTGTTTTTCATAATCTTTTTCATTTCTTTTCTCTTTTTTCATGTGTTTTATTCTTTTTAATTTTTTTTCTTTTATGTGTTTCATAATCTTTTTTCGTTTTCTTTTTTTTTTTTTCTCATATGTTTCATAATCTTTTTTCTTTTTCTTTTCTCTTTTCTCATGTGTTTCATAATCTTTTTCCTTTTCTTTTCTCTTTTCTCATGTGTTTCATAATCTTTTCCTTTTTTTTTCTCTTTTCTCATGTGTTTTTCATTAATTTTTTGTTTTTCTTTTCTCTTTTCTTCATTATTGTTTCATAATCTTTTTTTTTCTTTTTCTCTTTTTGTGTTTTCTTTTTTTTTTAATTTTTGTTTTCTTTTCTCTTTTTTCTCTTTTTTTTCCTTTTTTTCTTTTCTAATGTTTTTATAATCTTTTCTTTTTTCTTTTTCATGTGTTTCATAATCTTTTTCGTTTTCTTTTCTTTTTCTCATGTGTTTCATAATCTTTTCAGTTTTCTTTTCTCTTTTTCTCATTTGTTTCTTTTTAATCTTTTATATTTTCTTTTCTCTTTTTTCTCATGTGTTTCATAATCTTTTATTTTTCTTTTTCTCTTTTCTATGTGTTTCATAATCTTTTTCGTTTTCTTTTCTCTTTTCTCATGTGTTTCATAATCTTTTTCGTTTTCTTTTCTCTTTTCTCTTTGTGTTTCATAATCTTTTTCGTTTTCTTTTCTCTTTTTCTCATGTGTTTCATAATCTTTTTCGTTTTCTTTTCTCTTTTTTATGTGTTTCGCGTTTTTCGTTAATCTTTTTTCGTTTTCATAATTTTTTATTTCTTTTCTCTTTCTCATGTGTTTCATAATCTTTTTCTTTTTCTTTTTCTTTTTTGTATTTTTTTCTTTTTTTCTTATGTGTTTCATAATCTTTTCCTTTTCTTTTCTCTTTTTTCATGTGTTTCATAATCTTTTTTTCTTTTCTTTTTTCTTTTCTCTTTTCTCATTTGTTTCATAATCTTTTTTTCTTTTTCTTTTTTCTTTTTCTCATCTCTTTTCATAATCTTTTCTCTTTTCTCATGTGTTTTTCTTTTTCTTTTCTCTTTTCTCATTTTTTTCATAATCTTTTAATTTTTTCTTTTTTTTCATGATTTTCTTTTCATTTCTTTTTCTCATGTGTTTCATAATCTTTTTCCTTTTTCTTTTCTTATTTTTCTAATCTTTTTGTTAATCTTTTCGTTTTTCTCTTTTTTCTCATGTGTTTCATAATCTTTTTGTTTTTTTTTTTCTCTGTTTTCATAATCTTTTCTTAATCTTTTATTTTTTTTTTTTTCTTTTTCATCATGTTTTCTTAATCTTTTTTTTTTTCTCTTTTTTTTTGTTTCATTGTTTTTTCTTTGTCTTTTTCATAATCTTTTCATTTTTTTTTCTTTTTCTTTTTTTCATAATTTTTTGTTTCTTTTAATCTTTTCGTTTTTCTTTTTTTTTCTTTTCTCATGTTTTCATAATCTTTTTCTTTTTTTTTTCTTTTTTCTCTTTGTGTTTCTAATTTTTTTCGTTTTCTTTTCTTTTTCTTTTTCTCATGTGTTTCATAATCTTTTTTTTTTTTTTTTTCTCATGTTTTCTTTTTTGTTTTTCTCATGTGTTTCATAATCTTTTTCGTTTTTCTTTTCTCTTTTCTTAATCTTTTTTTTCTTTTCTTTTTTTTTTTTTTTAATCTTTTCTTTTCTTTTCTCTTTCTCATGTGTTTCATAATTTTTTCTTTTCTTTTCTCTTTTTTCATGTTTTTCATAATCTTTTTTCGTTTTCTTTTTCTTTTTTCATGTTTTTCATAATCTTTTTGTTTTCTCATTTTTTTGTTTTTTTTTATTTTCTTTTTCTTTTTCTTTTTTTTTCTTTTCTTTTCTCTTTTCTCATGTTTTCATAATCTTTTTTTTCTTTTTCTTTTTAAAAAAAAATCTTTTTTTTTTTCTTTTTTTTTCATATGTGTTTTTAATTTTTCTTTTTTTTTCTCTTTTCTCATGTTTCATTTTTTGTTTTTTTTCTTTTCTTTTTTTTTCTTTTCTCTTTTTCATAATCTTTTTCTTTTTCTTTTCTCTTTTTCTGTATTTTTTATCTTTTTTTTCTTTAATCTTTTTCGTGTTTTCTTTAAGTTTTCTTTTTTTCTCATGTGTTTCATAATCTTTTTCGTTTTCTTTTCTCTTTTCTCATGTGTTTCATAATCTTTTTCGTTTTCTTTTCTCTTTTCTCATGTGTTTCATAATCTTTTTCGTTTTCTTTTCTCTTTTCTCATGTGTTTCATAATCTTTTTCGTTTTCTTTTCTCTTTTCTCATGTGTTTCATAATCTTTTTCGTTTTCTTTTCTCTTTTCTCATGTGTTTCATAATCTTTTTAGTTTTCTTTTCTCTTTTCTCATGTGTTTCATAATCTTTTTCGTTTTCTTTTCTCTTTTCTCATGTGTTTCATAATTTTTTCGTTTTCTTTTCTCTTTTCTCATGTGTTTTAATCTTTTTTTCTTTTCTTTTTCTCATGTGTTTCATAATCTTTTTTTTCTTTTCTTTTTCATGTGTTTCATAATCTTTTTTTTTTTTTCATTTTTTTATGTGTTTTATAATTTTTTCGTTTTCTTTTCTCTTTTTTCATGTGTTTCATAATCTTTTCGTTTTTTTTCTCTTTTTCTCATGTGTTTCATCTTTTTTTTCGTTTTCTTTTTCTCTTTTCTCATGTATTTCATTTTTTTAATCATTTTTCTTTTCTCTTTTTCTCATGTTTCATAATCTTTTTTTTTTTTCTTTTTTCTTTTCTGTTTTTCATAATCTTTTTTCTCTTTTCTCTTTTTCTCATGTGTTTCATAATCTTTTTTTTCTTTTTTCTTTTTCTTTTTCTCTTTTTGTGTTTCATAATCTTTTGTTTTTCTTTTCTCTTTTCTCATGTGTTTCATAATCTTTTAGTTTTTTTTCTCTTTTCTCTTTAATCTTTTTCATTTTCTTTTCTCTCATGTGTTTTTTCATAATCTTTTTCCTTTTCTTTTCTCTTTTCTCATGTGTTTCATAATCTTTTTCCTTTTCTTTTCTCTTTTCTCATGTGTTTTATAATCTTTTTCGTTTTCTTTTCTCTTTTCTCATGTGTTTCATAATCTTTTTCCTTTTCTTTTCTCTTTTCTCTTTTTTTTTTTGTTTTTTCTTTTCTCTTAATGTTTTAATCTTTTTTTTTTTCTCTTTTTTTCATGTGTTTCATAATCTTTTTTTTTTTTTTTTTTCTCATGTTTTCATAATCTTTTTTTTTCTTTTTTCTTTTCTCATGTGTTTTCTTCTTTTTTTTTCTTTTTTCTTTTCTTTTTATAATCTTTTTTTTTTTTCTTTTCTCTTTTCTTATGTGTTTCATAATCTTTTTTTTCTTTTCTCTTTTTTCATGTGTTTCATAATCTTTTCTTTTTCTTTTCTCTTTTTCATGTTTTTTTCATAATCTTTTTGTTTTCTTTTCTCTTTTTCTCATGTGTTTTTCTTTTTGTTTTTTTCTCTTTTCTTTTGTCTTTTCTTTTTTCCTTTTCTTTTCTTTTCTATGTGTTTTTTTTTTTTTTCTTTTCTCTTTTCTCATGTGTTTCATAATCTTTTTAGTTTTCTTTTCTCTTTTTCTCATGTTTCATAATCTTTTTAGTTTTTCTTTTTTCTCTTTTCTCATGTGTTTCATGGGTTTAATCTTTTTGTTTTCTTTTTCTCTTTTCTCATGTGTTTCATAATCTTTTCATTTTCTTTTCTCTTTTCTCATGTGTTTCATAATCTTTTTTCTTTTCTTTTCTCATGTTTTTTCTTTTTGTTTTTTCATCTTTTTTCATAAATCTTTTTCGTTTTCTTTTTCTTTTCTCATGTTTTCATAATTTTTTTTTTTTTTTTTCTTTTCTCATGTGTTTCATAATCTTTTCCTTTTCTTTTCTCTTTTTCATGTGTTTCATAATTTTTTCTTTTCTTTTTCTCTTTTTTATGTGTTTTTTTAATCTTTTTTTCATGTTTTTCTTTTCTTTTCTCTTTTCTCATGTGTTTTATAATCTTTTTCGTTTTCTTTTCTCTTTTCTCATGTGTTTCATAATCTTTTTCGTTTTCTTTTCTCTTTTCTCATGTGTTTCATAATCTTTTTCGTTTTCTTTTCTCTTATGTGTTTCATAATCTTTTTCGTTTTCTTTTCTCTTTTCTCATGTGTTTCATAATCTTTTTCCTTTTCTTTTCTCTTTTCTCATGTGTTTCATAATCTTTTTCGTTTTCTTTTTTCTTTTTCTCATGTGTTTCATAATCTTTTTCGTTTTCTTTTCTTTTCTATGTTTTCATAATCTTTTTCGTTTTCTTTCTCTTTTCTCATGTGTTTCATAATATTTTTTTCTTTTCTCTTTTCTCATGTGTTTTTCTTTTCTTTCTTTAATCATGTGTTTTTTTTTTTTCTTTTCTTTTCTTTTCTCATGTGTAATCTTTTTAGTTTTTTCTTTTCTCTTTTCTTTCATGTTTCTTTTTCTTTTTTCTTTTTTCTTTTCTTTTCTCATGTGTTTCATAATCTTTTTTCCTTTTTCTTTTCTCTTTTCTCATGTGTTTCATAATCTTTTCCTTTTCTTTTCTCTTTTTCATGTTTTCATAATCTTTTTTTTTTTCTTTCTCTTTTCTCATGTGTTTCATAATCTTTTTTTGTTTTCTTTTCTCTTTTTTCTCATTTGTTTTTTCATAATCTTTTTTTTCTTTTCTTTTCTTTTTCTCATATGTGTTTCATAATCTTTTTCGTTTTCTTTTCTCTTTTCTCATGTTTTCATAATCTTTTGTTTTCTTTTCTTTTTTTCATGTGTTTTAATCTTTTCTTTTTTTTCTCATGTGTTTCATAATCTTTTTTGTTTTCTTTTTCATAATCTTTTTCATTTTTTCTTTTTCTCTATTTTTCTCATGTTTTTTCATCTTTTTTTGTTTTTCTTTTTCTCTTTTCTTCTTTTTTTTCATCTTTCTTTTTTTTTTCTTTTCTTTTCTTTTCTCATGTGTTTCATAATCTTTTTTTTCTTTTTTTTCTCTTTTCTCATGTGTTTCATAATCTTTTTTTCGTTTTTCTTTTCTCTTTTCTCATGTGTTTCATAATCTTTTATGTGTTTTTCTTTTCTCTTTTTCTCTTTTTGTGTTTCATAATCTTTTTCCTTTTCTTTTCTCTTTTCTCATGTGTTTCATAATCTTTTCCTTTTAATCTTTTTTATGTTTTTTTTCTTTTTTTTCTTTTTTTCATGTGTTTCATAATCTTTTTCGTTTTCTTTTCTCTTTTCTCATATGTTTCATAATCTTTTTATTTTTCTTTTCTCTTTTCTCATGTGTTTCATAATCTTTTTTTTTTCTTTTTCTTTTCTCTTTTTTATCTTTTTAGTTTTCTTTTCTCTTTTTCATATGTTTTTCTTTTCGTTTTCTTTTCTCTTTTCTCATGTGTTTCATAATCTTTTTTTTTTTTTCTCTTTTTCTCATATGTTTTATAATCTTTTCTTTTCTTTTCTCTTTTTTTCATGTGTTTCATAATCTTTTTCATTTTCTTTTCTTTTCTCATGTGTTTCATAATCTTTTTCATTTTCTTTTCTTTTTTTTGTGTTTTAATCTTTTTGATTTTCTTTTCTCTTTCTCATGTTTCATAATCTTTTTTTTTTCTTTTCTCTTTTCTCATGTGTTTTTTAATCTTTTTAGTTTTCTTTTCTCTTTCTCATGTGTTTTTAATCTTTTTGTTTCTTTCTCTCTTTTCTTTTAATCTTTTTTTTTTTTCTTTTTTTGTTTCATGTCTTTTCTCATAATCTTTTTCATTTTCTTTTTTTTCTTTTTTTCTCTTTTCTCATATGTTTCATAATCTTTTTTTTTCTTTTCTCTTTTTCTCATGTGTTTCATAATCTTTTGTTTTCTTTTTTTTTTTTCTCTTTTCTCATGTGTTTCATAATCTTTTTTTTTCTTTTTCTTTTCTCATGTGTTTTATAATCTTTTTAGTTTTCTTTTCTCTTTTTTCATGTGTTTTTTTTTTTCTTTTTCTCTTTTCTCATGTGTTTCATCTTAATCTTTTTCTCTTTTTCTTTTCTCTTTTCTCTTTTCTCATGTTTCATAATCTTTTTTTCTTTTTCTTTTCTCTTTTTCTCATTTGTTTCATAATCTTTTTCTAATCTTTTTGTTTTTTTTCTTTTTTCTCATGTGTTTCATTTTCTTTTCTTTCTTTTTCTCATTTTTTATGTGTTTCATTTTCTTTTCTTTTCTATGTTTTATAATCTTTTCGTTTTCTTTTCTTTTTTCTCATGTTTCATAATCTTTTTCGTTTTCTTTTCTCTTTTCTCATGTGTTTCATAATCTTTTTCCTTTTCTTTTCTCTTTTCTCATGTGTTTCATAATCTTTTTCCTTTTCTTTTCTCTTTTCTCATGTGTTTCATAATCTTTTTAGTTTTCTTTTCTCTTTTCTCATGTGTTTCATAATCTTTTTCCTTTTCTTTTCTCTTTTCTCATGTGTTTTTTCTAATCTTTAATTTTTTTTCTTTTTTATGTGTTTTTCTCTTTTTTTCTCTTTTCTCATGTGTTTCATAATCTTTTTCCTTTTCTTTTCTCTTTTCTCATGTGTTTCATAATCTTTTTCGTTTTCTTTTCTCTTTTCTCATGTGTTTCATAATCTTTTTCGTTTTCTTTTCTCTTTTCTCATGTGTTTTATAATCTTTTTCGTTTTCTTTTCTCTTTTCTCATGTGTTTTATAATCTTTTTCCTTTTCTTTTCTCTTTTCTCATGTGTTTCATAATCTTTTTCGTTTTCTTTTCTCTTTTCTCATATGTTTCATAATCTTTTTCCTTTTCTTTTCTCTTTTCTCATGTGTTTCATAATCTTTTTAGTTTTCTTTTCTCTTTTCTCATGTGTTTCATAATCTTTTTAGTTTTCTTTTCTCTTTTCTCATGTGTTTCATAATCTTTTTTTTTTATGTTTTCTTTTCTCTTTTCTCATGTATGTTTTCTTAATCTTTTTTTCTTTTTTGTTTCATAATCTTTTGTTTTTTTTTTTTCTTTTTCATGTGTTTCATAATCTTTTCGTTTTCTTTTCTCTTTTTTCTCATGTGTTTCATAATCTTTTCGTTTTCTTTTTCTCTTTTCTCATGTATTTCATAATCTTTTCGTTTTCTTTTCTCTTTTTTCATGTTTTTAATTTCTTTTTCTTTTCTTTTCTTTTCTCATTTGTTTCTTTTTTCTTTTTCTATAATGTTTCAATCTTTTTCCTTTTCTTTTTCTCTTTTCTCATGTGTTTTCATAATCTTTTTTCATTTTCTTTTCTCTTTTCTTATGTGTTTCATTTTCTTTTCTCTTTTTTCATGTGTTTCATAATCTTTTTTTTCTTTTTCTTTTTTTATGTGTTTCATAATCTTTTCGTTTTCTTTTTCTTTTTCATGTTTTTTCTTTTTCGTTTTCTTTTTCTCTTTTTCTTGTGTTTCATAATCTTTTTTTCTTTTCTCTTTTCTCATGTGTTTCATAATTTTTTAGTTTTCTTTTCTCTTTTCTCATGTGTTTCATAATCTTTTTTTTCCTTTTCTCTTTTCTCTATTATATTTTTTTTATGTGTTTCATTTTCTTTTAATCTTTTCTTTCATGTGTTTCATAATCTTTTCTTTTCTCTTTTCTCATGTGTTTCTAATTTTCTTTTCTCTTTCTCATGTGTTTCATAATCTTTTTCCTTTTTTTTCTCTGTTTTCTTATGTGTTTCATAATCTTTTTCTTTTCTTTTCTCTTTTCTCGTGTTTATAATCTTTTTAGTTTTTCTTTTCTCTTTCTCATGTGTTTCATAATCTTTTCTCTTTTCTTTTTATTTTCTTTTTCTTCATGTGTTTCATAATCTTTTTTCATTTTCTTTTCTCTTTTTTATGTGTTTTCATAATCTTTTCGTTTTCTTTTCTCTTTTTTCTCATATGTTTCATAATCTTTTTGTTTTCTTTTCTCTTTTCTTATGTTTCATTCTTTTTCATTTTTTTTCTCTTTTCTCATGTATTTCATAATCTTTTTCATTTTCTTTTCTCTTTTCTCATGTGTTTCATAATGTCTTTTTTTTTCTTTTCTCTTTTCTCATGTGTTTCATAATCTTTTCATGTTTTCATCTTTTCGTTTTCTTTTTCTTTTCTATGTGTTTCATAATCTTTTTGTTTTCTTTTTTTTCTCATGTTTTTTTATTTTCTTTTTCTTTCTCATGTGTTTCATTTTCTTTTTTCTGTGTTTTTCTTTTTTTTCTCTTTTCTTTCTCATGTGTTTCATAATCTTTTTAGTTTTCTTTTCTCTTTTCTCATGTGTTTCATAATCTTTTTCCTTTTCTTTTCTCTTTTCTTTCTCATGTGTTTCATAATCTTTTTTTTTTCTTTTCTTTTTCTTCCATAATCTTTTCTTTTTTTATGTTTCATAATCTTTTTGTTTTCATTTTTTCGTTTTTCTCATGTGTTTCATAATCTTTTTCGTTTTTTCTTTTTCTCTTTTCTCATGTGTTTTATAATCTTTTTTTTCTTTTCTCTTTCTCATCTTTTCTCATGTTTTCATTTCTTTTTCTTTTTTCTCATTTTTTCTAATCTTTTTAGTTTTCTTTTCTCTTTTCATATGTTTCATTTTTCTTTTCTTTTTCATGTTTTTTTTCTTTTTTCTCATACCATGTGTTTCATAATTTTTCCTTTTCTTTTCTCTTTTCTCATGTGTTTCTATAATCTTTTTCCCTTTTCTTTTTCTCTTTTCTCATATGTGTTTCATAATCTTTTTTTTCTTTTCTTTTCTCATGTGTTTCATAATCTTTTTTTTTCTTTTTCATTTCTCTTTTCTCATTTTTTCTTTCTTCATGTGTTTCTTTTAGTTTTTTTCTCTTTTTTCTGTGTTTCTTTTTTCATTTTCTTTTTCTTTTCTCATGTGTTTCATAATCTTTTTTTTTTTCTTTTTCTCTTTTTATGTGTTTTTCTCTTTTTTTATTTCTTTGTGTTTCATAATCTTTTTTTTCTTTTTCTTTTTCTTTCTTCATGTGTTTTCATAATCTTTTTCTTTTTTCTTTTCTCTTTTCTCCTTGTCTTTTTCTTTTCTAATCTTTTTAATCTTTTTTCTTTTCTCTCTTTTCTCATGTGTTTCATAATCTTTTTCCTTTTCTTTTCTC